TGGTTGACAAGAAGTAGAATCAAACAAAAGGGCTAGCAAAGTCAACCCACAATATTCAAGGCCTAGTCCAAAAGAGTAAATAATGAAGAAGAAAAAATGTAAAAGCGGTTAAAATTAAGTAGGTGAAAACCAGGCCAACAGAGTGCCAAATATAATTATAGATGACATTCCTGAAGATTGCTATGAAATATCAGTGTGCAGGGAAATATAACGAATTATGCCAGTAGTAAAACTGGCATTTGTTAAAAACTAAAATAATTGTGGATATCTTTTAAAATCAAAACATTATCAAAATCATAGCCTGAGTATATGTTTAATAAAGCCAAATTGGATGTACATTTAACATAAAGCTGTTGTAATAAAAGGGGTAGGAATGAACATTCATGTGCAAGAAATTGAAAGGAAATTAAGAGAACAGAATTTTGACATTAATACTTGTGAAGGAGTTATTAATGAAAGAATAAACAACACCAGTATGTTACGTCTCCGTTTGTTAATTAACTTTCCGTAACTTCGTTCCAACGAAACTTTAGCGACACAAGTCCTTACTTAATAAAACTGGTTTATTCTTTCCGAATACAACTTTACGACACACTTAATTTCAATATTCGCGCTAAAACAAACACTATAACGAACGAACGTTAACTTCAACAATACCCTGTGACTGCAGTTCAATTACTCACTATCTACACACACATTATTCCCCCGTCACGTTGTCACCCTCTTTTATATACCAGACTACCCTCTATCTAGTAAATACTAGAGTATTCGCCAAGGTACAGGATAGTTTTAGAAAATAGGTGGCGCCACACCAGTCACGTGACTCGCTGACGCAACAAGTAGAATTAACAAGTAATGATGAGAATAAAGTTAAAGAGTTGATTAGTAATGGCTTTTTAATTGAATACTTACATTTTAAGGTAGAGATATTTAGAGTAGTGTCTCAAGTGTTGCATTGCTTTAAACCCCAAAAGTTTGGCCGCATGACTAATAATTCCAAAAATATGGCTCACCTTGACAGAGGTGGAGACAACCATAAACTTACAGAATGTTAAATATGCCCTTGTCAAAGCTAAATAAAGAAAATCTGATGAGAAACATAAAAACGTCATTTATGAAATATCATGTTCCTGTGAACAGAAAAACCAGAAAACACTTTGGAGCAAGAATAAAAGAAAATATAAACTGCACAACACTGGTGAAAACATAGAATTGTGTCCTGACAAAACATGTTATGTTGAATAGACATACATTAGATTAGGACGATAATAGACTCATCAACATGGGTAAATTCTGGAAAACAAGAAAATTCAAAGAAATTTTCTACGTCAACACAAGGGAATCATCGCTAAACAGATACCCAGACCTTCAAATTATCAGTTTTTGGCTATCACTTACTCCAACAACCACAGTACAAGGACTACTAACCAATCACGTCACGATCATCTCAATCTTCCCAGATAGCATATTGTTGCGTCAGCATTCACATGACTACAGTGACGCAACGTTTCTAGAATTATCATGTACTTTGGCGAATGCTCTAGTATTTACTAGTAAAAAGTCTGACATATTTCCATCCTTACCTCTATGGTGCAAGGTTTACCATCAG